TTTTTTTTTTTTTTTTTTTGCTCAACGTAAGAATGTTCAATGAAAGAGTCGATTAATTGTACGAAACAATACAGGCTCGGCGATCGATCGATTTACAAAAGCAATTGCATTCGCGGCAGGAAATGTCGATGTGATTGTGTGTGCCAAATAATACGAACCCGTGACTAGCCAAAGAGAACATTTTTCGAGATGTGCAAATAATTTGAACGTAATAGCGAATATTTTGAAGACTATCGATGAAACGAACAGACAAATTTTACATGTTTGCAATCATTCTACGATTCATCAGTTGTAAATACACGTTGCCGGAATTATCGTCGAATTAACAAAATTGTTAATCTGTACATAAAGAGCAATTATAGTCGCAAAGTTTTACATGTAAATCTACCGTATAGTCTTCCCATATATGTACGAGATCACTATTTATTATTTATTAACATCTAAGAATGTATTTGTATATATATATAAGAGTATGAAAATCGGTGGGCAACGAACATATTTTAATAAAACATCAAAATTTGTATGGATTTAACCTTACGTTATCTACGTAACGTACACTAAAAAACTGTGCTATATATCGATATTACATAAATATATTGTTTATCATCTAAAAAGGTTTCTTTGATTTTTAAGAGAGTCGGACCAAGGATCGTCGAAGCGATGGATTGGGAAAGAATCACGGAAATTGTCCAAAAGAAATTATTTTAGAAACCTTCTGAAATATGATGAACATTTTATTCGAATATGCGTACGTACATAAGTGCTGCGTGACTGTTAATAAAAATATCAATATCTTACACAATCGTAAAAATATGTACCATCTCTGCTGGAGAATTATAAAACGAGATTGCAACACGCAATTTTCAATGCTTGTTAAAAAAAAATGAACAGTGAGATGTGCTCAGTAATATATGCATCTAGTTTTATGAAACGGAATGCTTTCTAACTCGTCGGCGTGTTCTCGCCGATAATCCCATAGAAAATGATCGATCAATATAGCGTTAATGTCTGATTTCTTTAACGCTAGATTAGGGCAACGCTCGATCAGAGCTCTCACTTCATCCTTGACTCGTTCGATAGCCTCTATAGAGTAACCACGAATTTCGACCTCGTCTTCGCTACCATTTTCTAATTCTACATCTGCAAACATTAAATACCGTGCTTTCTAATAGAAAAACCCTACCACTAGCCACTGTCAATTCTAACTCCTCTATTCACATCGTGATTCACCGAATACTAATATCGAAACAACATATAAAAAAGACATAAAAGAAATTGACGATTTTACCAAATCGTCTAGGTGAAATTATTTAAAAAACTCTTAAAACATGACGACGAACAATTTGATTTATAAAGTGGATGAAAAAAACTCACCGGACTGCAACCTGCTCAGAAGAATATTGCTATAACGAATAGCACCAAAGTGTAGCAAAACTTGGGGAATACGGTAATCAGCGAACATCGTGATGCAATCTATATCTTCAAATTCACCAATTCCCTGTCCTTTGAAGCAGGCCCAAATATCGCCTATTAGTATTTGAGCCCTCTTGTAAAAGCTAACTGAAAAACAAAGTCACCGTGTTATTGCATTTACTCTTTAAATCATTCTCTTTCGAAAGATCAGCATGGTAGTATTACCTCTGTGACTTCTGTAGTCTGCCTCATCTCGATAAGACTCAAAATCCTTCACGATACATTTGAGCAACTTTTCGGCTGAACGCGAACACGATTTAATACAATTGGTGAAAGTACCTAGAAAGAAAAAAAATAGCTGTTAGCTGGTAGTAATAGAATGTTTTGCAAATACTAATTGAATATTTAATTCTAAAATGTGATTTGTCATATGTATGCAAAATACGTTATTAATCTAGTGTATAACTTTACAGTCGCTTGCTTCGCAAGATCATCCAAAATTTTATGTCTCGAAATTTATGTCGAGAAATTTACGAAAGAAAAGTTTCGAACAACTATGGAAAAAATGGAATTCGGTAAAGTTTTGCACCAGATTCAGAGAAGAAAGGGAACAAGTACCTTGATACTTTTCTAACAAAACCTTCCCGGTATCTCTCAAGGACTTAACTCTTTCGTCTAACAACGGAATATTAGTTTCGGTATCGCCACGAAAAATATCCTCAGCTTCGGATCTCGTTATTTGAGAATAATACTTGGGATCGACTATAGGTTTTCCCTCCTGTTCGAAATAGAAGTTAAAAAAAGAAAAAAAAAAAAGAAAAAAAAAGAATCATACACATTCAACAATCATATACTTTCTGAAATGACCAGCGTCCAAAGGACATCAGCGTCAAAGTATTTTTGAACCGATCAGGACATACTGGTTTGCGAACAAAAGAAACTAGACATTCATATATGGAAAACGACAGGAAATGACATTTTACGTGTATATCGCGCAAAATTCCATGTCGCCGCAATATGACATTGACTATTAAATTTCTGAGGATACGTCCAGTCAGAAACGTTGTTTCCCAACAAATATGATGAACCCAACGTGCGAACAATATTCGACTGACATAATTAATCTCAAAAGACCTACGTGAGTACGCACGTGTACTCTCGAATAATGTAAATTGAAGCAATAAGGAGGCAGCTCTAAAAAGGAGAGGAAAGATATGGATATTTTCATCTTAAAAAAAAAGTTGGTGCGCGTTTGAAAAAAGAAAATGATTTAATTTAAATTGAATTGATATTACCCAAATTATTTGTGGAAAGAGGAGGTTCCCCCTTACTGCAGCTTATTGCTTGTTTAATTTTTTTTTTTTTTTTTTTTTTTTTTTTCTATTCGTATCGAAATTCTTACACGTGAATCAGGGCTCTGGATAAGCTGGCCGATTCGATTCCTAAGCCAAAGGGCGCGGTACCAAATTTTGGCCTACCAAAATGGAAAGTGATGCCGTTAGAGTCGAAAATCCCAATGGTCCCTGGACCTGAGGGCGTTTACAATTTCACCCGTCGTAAACTAGGGGAAGAACTATGGATCTCCACGCCCGATGCGGAATTTAATTTAAGCGATCCATATGGTTACGAGATAAAATGGACTTACGACTCGCTTCACGATAAACATTTGCTTTCTCATTTCTCCAAACCGAATATCATTCGACACTTGATCAAATCTGGTTTCATCACTAAAGATCTCGACGCGAAATGTTCCCTGAAGGATTACAATGTGTATAGACAGTATCTAAGAACGTTACACTGCGACAGCATTAAGAAGGAATTGAACAGAATAACGAAACGATCCATCGAGGAAAGAGCGATTTTATATGCACAAGAACAGGCTGAGAAGGAAGTGAAAAAGTAATCATTTGAGTAGATATCGTTGATCCCGGAGAACAATGGCACAATTACAAAATTTTAGTTGTGTTACAGTAACAATTTACTTACTTAAAAAAGTATATTCTTGCGCCATTGTTCTCTCAGGCCTATCATAGATATACTATACAAAATCAACTCACTTGTTAGATTGAAGGAAAGGGAGAGACTGATGGAGTTACGAAAATCTGCGATCGAACGGAGTAAAATGGCTGAGAAAATGAAACTCCAGAGGCAGAAAGAGAAGCAAAAGATAATAGAGGAAAGATTGCACGCATTGGCTCAGAGGAAGAAAGAAGCACAACAAATGCAGTACATTAAAAGCAGACAGAAAGCTGAAATAATTCAGCAGAAACAAATTGCAGCAGTAAACATTCAACGGCAAAAGATAATTCAAGCTCTATTAGAATGGAGAAAAAAGGAACGTATACGGAGAAAGATGATGGAAATGCGATTAGCGCACGAACAAGAAGAAAAGCACAAAATTGTGAAACACAAGTATGTCTGAAATTCATAAAATAAATAAATCATAAAATAAAAACTCTTTTTATGCTGTATAGATGGGAAGAAAGGTTAGAATTTCAAAAGAAACAAATTGAAAAGGAGCAGCTCCTATTGCAATGTATAGAAGATCAAAGGAAAGAGTTTATTGATGCATACAAAGAAAAAATAAACAGAGAAACAAAAAGAATGAAAAGTATGTGTTACTGAATTTCATAAAAATTTACATCCTTAAATTTAATCAAGGATAAAATTTACATCCTTAAATTTAATCAAGGATAAAATTTAATGATTTATTTTAGAACTTTTTGAAGATGTGAAGATGTATATAAGATGTTATTTGGCTAGACACCTGCCTGGAAGTAGAGAACGAATTTGTTGTAAAAAATATTTCTATGATGATGAGGTATTTTATATGATAATTTAGAAATATAAAATCATTCCATATTATAGATATGAGTTTTACTTATAGGATGAAACATCGACCACGAAAAGTGTTGAAAAGAGTATAACTAAGTCAATAAAACAAGATAAGGATAAAGTAAGAAAATTTCCAGTCTTTTAATGAAAGTGTAAATTATATAATCGATTATAAGTAAAACACCTTGATATTAAGATTTGTCTAGTATAAAGTATAATGTCATTTCAGATAAAGAAAACACTTCAAAAGGAAAAAAAGAAAAGTAAGGAAAAGGCTGTAAATAGAGGTAAACTAAAGCAGGAACTAAAAAAGAGAAAGAAGTTTGCAAAGATAGAGAAAAAAAAAGTACGTGAAACTAAAAAAGTTATCAAAAATAATAAAAAAGAAAAGAAAAAGAGAAGAATAAAAAAAAAGAAAGTTATTGAGCCAGACATGGAATTTGAATTGGAGCCATTATCTGAATCTATACCTTCATTAAAAACAGAAACTATAGAAAAATCAATAATTTCTGAGCCAAAAGAAAAATGCAGATGTCAAGCAATTAAAGATAAAGAAAAGATCTTACACAACAGAAATAGATGATTCTCCTAAAATTAAATTTCTTATAATTTCACTTTCCTAAGTTGAAATTATTGATCTATAATTTTATCCGTTTTTAACTTACATCAATAGCTCTCTTAATAGCAGCACACAAGGCAAAATAACCAGTCTGACCATTAACAGTCCATTTTGGACAATTTGTTTTACTCCAAAAGGAATAATTTAATGTGTCCAAAACAAATATCCAATCGACCGCTTTTGGATCTTCAAAAGAAGGATGAAATTCACATTGTGAAAAGTTGTTCACGCTTATTTTGTGATCATTAAGGGCCTTAAAAATCTGTAAAAAAAAGAATATTGATTGAATTACTTGTGATATTAAATCCTTTAAATCCTCATTTTTTTAATGAATTGAAAAAAATATAACCAAAAAGTTTAAACAACATTTGATATAATTTTACAATTACAATTAATTTTTTACACATATTACAACAAATTTGTCAAAAAAAATTTGAACAATACTGAAAAATTATTTACCATGTAGGCAAGATTTTTGATTCTTTCTTCTTCAATGGAAACATTCTTAGAACAAAAATCTATCAGTTTTGCAGATTCCTTTGGCATTAAAATCATTGTTTAAAAAAAGTATCACAGTTTAATTAATAGTGAATTGATAATAATTTGTTTAAGCAAAAAATTTATTCAACCTGCGTACAAACACTTAACACACAGTTACTTTACAATCGAGTCAATAGTCACGTGACAGTACCTCGTGACCACCAACGATTCTTAGCACGTTAGCAACGATTGCCTTGTAAACAAACATGGCTGTGAATGTTAAAATTTGTGAAATTGTTTTACAGATTGTCCATTAATATGTGAACAGATAATTATCCTGTAATGTTTGTACTAGTGTTTTAAAACTTTGTCATAGATGAAATCAAGGTAAGTACTTTAAACATTGAAATTGCATAGTTAAGATTAAAAGTACTTTTTCAAAATAATGCACAATAGCACATGTGCACTATGATTATTTACATTGAGCAATAATAAAAGCTTTTTAGAGTTACCTCCATAAATTGTAACAAAATAACGTCAAAAATTAATTAATTTACATATAGTATCTTATATTATATATTTTTTCTCTCATTATCTTTTTAATGAAGAAATCTTAAGGTTACTTTTTCATGACAGTATAGTGCATATTTCTATATGCATTTATTTATCATAATTAGTTATTTACGTTATATAAAATTTGAAAATAAAGTTTATATAATACATTCTTTAAGTGTTTTTTTTTTTACCTTCAATAATTCCATAGTTGCATTACCTACATTTATTAACATATAATAAATATTGATGATACAATGTTTAACATCAACAATAATTAATATTTGAACTTTGTCGATGTCAAATACTAATTAATAATGTACATATAAAATAAAATAAATTTTTTTTTCAACTGAATGTTAAGTTGATAGTCAAAGTATAAAGTGTCATATCACTTTATTTAATCAATCATAACATTTAATAATACATAATTTAACTAATAAATGTATTCTGTGTTTAAGTTTTTACATAAGGACATGCGTTTCTTATTTTACGGTACATTCGATTGTAGGTAATACCTAATTTTAGTATTATAGGCAACTATTTTCTGTAAAGTTTGATAAGATTCGAAACTTCAACACTTCATTTGTAATTTACATACGTAACACAAATTACAATGTTTAAATTATATGTATCATCATATTTACATATAAAACTTTATTATTGCAATATTTAGTATACTAGATTTTTTGTATTATATCTCTGCACATTTCTTTTAACTTCCTCTTCACAACTGATCAAATGATTTTATGATCTTATATTTAAGTTGTTATGTATGTATTTTGTCCAAAGACTTTCTCTCAAAATTATCAAATAACATGATTAAATAAAATATTTTGAATTACGATGTAACTTACAAAATATGAATAATATTACAAACATGTTTCGAATCCTAAAGTTTGAAAAGTCAAATGGTAGTGTGCTTCATCGCATTCATTCATTCAAATAACATATGTACATAATACCCCCTCAACATAAAGTGAACAGATTAAGGCTCCAGCAGGCTATAGGCTACATTCTACAATGTACAATGCATTATGTACTTTGTTAGTTTCCGTTTTCGCATACATGTCTGGTTGTGTAATGTGTGGTAAGCGATAGCACCAAAAGATTTTCAACATCATTATTTGATACAAATGATTCATATAACTACAATATGATTAACACAGAAATCAAGTTGCAATAATTAACATTTATTTTATTCAGTATTATTAAACTTTGCAACGTATTTGCCGTAATAGACATACTTATCATAAAACAATACATCTTAACAAAAATGTATAAATTTATACTTTATGAAATAAAAAATTGAACAAAAATAGTAGGCCTTGCCCACCAATATTTCTAACGAATGAAAATTTCCTTTGTGTATTGAATGCTGTGAACACTTAATGGCATTCTGTACCAGATTATGTATCGATGATAGACATATCTATTCAGTTTGATATTGTATATTTTGACATCATTTGTGGCCCCAGTATGCTATTATATTTGTATATAGCATGAAACCAGTATGATAATATTCATTTAAAGATATATTAAACATTGTGCTTTTTAAGTGTTAAAAGACTTAAGTGTTAAAAAAAATTGTATCATTGTGCAACTAATGAATTGAAATTTTAATTACCACTGATTTTTAACTCGATGGTTTCATTAGGCTGACTGAACATGCACATGTTAGACAGCAATTTCTTTCTCACTGTGCAATACTTATACTTTGTAATGTTGACTATTAACATTATGATATCAATATAAAGTTAAAATGGATGTGTTCAATCTTTTAATATTAAACTTCAACTTCAGATTATAAACTATAAATTTTACAAAATTGGTGGAGTAGAATTATTTATTCATCCAAATTATCAATAAGACAATAATCCGTAGTTAATTACAACAAATAATTCAGTAAATCCAATTCATCAAAGATGTTCATACTGAAACATAATTATTGCACAAGATTACTATCTGATTGATACAATTTGAATGTACTCAATAAATGTATTAACGAATTCCAATATTCCACTCCAATTTCAGTTTGTTTGATTTTAGCTATCAATTATGGTTTGATTTACCAAATATAATTCCAATCAAAATGCTTACAAAAAGTAAGATCAAGGATCCCCGTTACCCCAAGTGTAGATTTATTAAATACTAATAAATTTATAAACAAACACCCATCCATAACATATAGATTAATATAAAAATCAATATTGTTTTAAATACTGTAATATAATGGACGTTTTAATCGTAAAGACGAGTGTTTATAAACAATATATAAGTCTTGTTATATGAACTTAGTATTATATCAAAGCATTTGCTAATAAAATTCATTAGAAATAAAATAGAAGATAGCAAAAATATTTTTTATATAGTTAGAAATTGTTAATGTAGAATTTTAAAAACTCGGTAAAAAAAAAATATTACAGATAAAATATCTATTCTTTTCCTTTTTTTTCTTTTAAAAAGTAGATGGCTACAATAATGTTTCTTTTTATTATTTTTGTTGATAACAAGATACATTAAGGGGTCCAGAGGAACCTTGAGTGGCATGCATGAGTTTCAGTCAAAACATGTTCAACTAAATTTCATGTAGCATTGTTACATTTGCTCCCATGCACATCACACCTCCAGACTTCACCCATGCAGCAAAATACGCTTTTTTTTTAATTATTTCTCTTAATATTATATAAAAAATCTATTTCTATTGACTTTTAAGCTCTTTGCCAATACTGTACGATACAATTTTGTTCCAGTCAATTTTCGTTCGCATAACAGGTAATTGCCTTCGTAAGGCCTTAAAGGTTGTATCAGACATTGTTTGATAATTTTCTGATATAGCAGTTTGATAATCATTTTCTGATTCCTCAACAAGCCGTATTAATTCCTTTGCTGTTTGTTTCTCATTTGAAACTGGTAAGCTTTCTTTTACTTCTTTGCTACTGACCAGCTGTACATTTCCATCTTCATAGTAATGAACTTGTACTTTAAGACTACCTCTTAATTCTGCATTTCCAGAACTTGGACTAAAACTAACAGTCCATACAGAACGCCAACGGCCATTCCAAAAATTTTTAGGTTGAAACTGATGATCTTCTATGCAAGCCGTTAAGGTAATGTTACCTAATAAATGAATATACCATTTTTTGTTCATATCTGTCATGTTCGAACAATTCAGGTTTTATCAAATTTAAAAAAACAATACCTCCTTGACTTTTTCCAAAAACTGAACATGCACCGTGTCTATAATGACTTTGAGTATAAGTTGTTATTTCATCTTGAAGAGCTGATCTCCATGGTTCAGCCACAGAATCTGGTTCATATGGTTCGTAATCCTGCGCTTCCTTTCTAAGATGGTCATATTTAAAACTTTGCTTACTGCGAGCATCGTAAAACCTTTGCCCACCTAAATCATTGTGTTCTGTTATAAGAGCAGGATATTCGCTTCCTTCAATCTGGAGTCAAAGACAGAAACAAATTAACTAATATAACACACGATTCACAAATTGAAAATATTTTATCATACAATATACTTATGAATAAATTAATATCTAACCTTAATTCGACTGAACCGAACAGACAGAATTATAAAATAGAAATTACTTCCAAATTGTAAAACGAAACAAAAACTACTAAAGTAGAAATGGAAATTATTGTAGATCAATCTTAGATATTTTCTATTAAAATGAGCACAAAATGTAACTATAATTAACCCTACTGCTGCATACAATTTCGATCGAAATTTCACAAATATTTTCACATAGCAACTGCTGTGTATCGATTCAAGGATACATTAGGTAAACAATCACATCAACCAGGTGAACATTATCGCGCTCCAATTTCACTATAAAGTCAACGTCACCTGTCGAAATTCCGGACGCGTGTTGCTCGATTAGGAATGTTACTAGTCGTTGAAATTCGATCCCACATTTTCCTGAGATAGTGTGATCTTCGATTACTACAGATACTGAACGATACCCCAGATACTATCATAAAAAATTGTAAAAGTTCATCACAGAGAGGTCGATGATGTACCTTAACAGGCGTGAGCTGATCCTTGTTGTACTGAGCAAATGCCCCGGACGCACCCTCCTTCAACAGGTTGTCGTTGTTCAACAAGACTCTCACATCATTAAAAACCTCGTTGAATTCGCCCGGTGGTGAGTGCAGTATAAAGTCCGAAACTATTCGTACTTTTTCTTGATCAGGAATCACATCCCCATCCGCCGCCATCTTACCTTTCCACTGGCACGCACACTCCGCGATGTCAAACCAAGGTTAGTGCAGTGCAGGTTGTACCGGCGTATCGAAGCACTGCCCCATATACCCGGTGACGCATCACAAAGGGGATACGTATCTCTCTTCTCTTAATCAACTCTATGACACATATTTTCCTATATTTTCATGCATTCCAACGAGACACATATTTTAAATATACACACGTCGTACCAACCAAATAATTCAATTATCGCATCTGCTTTTACAAATGCTACAGGTATATGAAATACATTTCATCTTTTTTGTTGAAATTTTATAATTTTTATAAATCGGTTTTAAATATTTTCTCATACCGTGATCTTATGAAATTGTGTATTTATGTACATATGTGTGGTTGTTTGTGAAAGTGGTATATATTTTATTTTATGGTTAAAATATATCTAACAATTTATTTCACACGGCTTTTTCTTTGAAGAATGTTGAGAGTAAGATCTATAACAAAACAGAAACGAGAATATAAAGCGAATGACTGTAATTCACTTTTAAAGACAACCACTGTGTTCAACGAACCTTGACGAGCATAACCTTCGAATAGCATTCGTGTTCTCTTATACACAATTCGAAGTAGACGTAATTTCGGTAAAAGCCGATATTATCAAACATTTTATCAAGATATTTCTATTTACTAGAGTAAAATCCCCTGTCAAGGAGATAAGAATATCCCTTTGTTGAATGATCACCGCCGGATATGTCTGTTTACCCGCCAAAATTTGAACGCATCTGAGAACAAGAAATAAAAGACTTCTTATTTGAAGTATAGCATAATGCGCATTCGCATTCGAGTCATACGAACTTGCAGAACAATATGGCTGTTTCAATTTTTAAATTCAAACATTTGTATAATTTAATTTATGCGATCATTGCACTTAAGATATTTAAATATTCAAATTTATACTCGACTAATAACTCATTTCGTCGTAGTTTTTAGATAATACATATAGGGGAATTTTAAAATTATGGCGGACGATCCAAATCGAGACATTTTGCCCGTGAAAGAAGTTTCGTGTGCAGATTTCTGCCGTAGTAGTATAGGTTCGTATCTATCAGGAATATTGTCTTTTTTTTTTGTTTTTTAAATAATAAGATATTTTTCCTCGTTTAATTTGTAATTTTTATTTTAAACAAGTTAAAGATCCCAGGGAACGATACATTGTGCTTAAGCTCGATCGTTACCAATTGGAAGACAGGTATTTACGATTGCTCGATGAAGCAAATGATTTAAAGAAATTGACAAACTGTCAGGAGGATAAGATCAAACGGTTGGCAACGAAACTGATGAGAGTAACTGCCAATTCAAAGCCTTGTACGGTTACGTTAGACATTTACGAAGACAAGAATAAGATAATCGCCCTTGAACTTGAAAACTCCAAGGTGAGAGTTAAATCAAAACAAAATTCTTTTTCTTCAATTTTAATTGAAATTTTTTTTAATTTTAATTTAGTAAAACAAAAGAATAAGTAAAAGTGAGTCTCGTTTCTGAATATATCTGAATATATATTGAAAGCTGTACAGATTGAAAATAGATAAGATTTATTAAGCAGACAATCGCTACAACTAATATGACAGTGTTGCAATTGATTTTCCAGCTGAAAGATAAAATCTCGGTGCTGAGAAATCAACTATTGAGTCACACGATAGCTGGTAGATCGTCATCGAGAAGTCGTAATCCTCAAACAAGACCGTCGTCCGGGCGCATGTAAGTAACATAGCGTCGTATTACAAGCGATCCATGATACGATCTATGATTCACTCGATTGAATCGTTATTCTTATGTTAGAACGTGCCGAAGCGAAAGCAGCCGCACCAAGGTACCATCTTGTCACTGTATTGAAAATGGTGACAATGCGCGACGTAATTTCGATAGAATCGAGGTAATTGACAATCGATCAATAAGTTTCTTTCGTTATCGTTTTCGTTTAAAGTTTTCAATTTAAAAAAAAAAAAAATGATCAAGTATCGCGTATATTTATGAAATTTATCTTGGAAATTGTGTATTTCTCGAGCAGGAATTAGAAGCGCAGAAAAGAGAAATGTCTAGCCGGATAGCTGAATTGGAGAAAGAATTGTCTGCTCATACAGCCGTAAACCAGAGGGAGAAAGTCGCGGAGAACGTCGAGTACATAAAGGTCTGGCGACAAATGAAGCAACTGAACGATAAACTAATAGCTACTGAGAGCGAGAACGAGTCATTGAATGTGCAAATCAACGATCTAAAGAGGAAACTCGAGGAGCAGACGAAGTACGCTCGACGTCTTTTTTGCTCATGCACGACGATGTTTCTAAGCAATACTTCACTAACTGTGTGAACTACGTCCGCACTATCATCTTCTCACTTTCTTTTTTCTTCTGTTTTATGCATGGAACAACTTGTAAGTTCTTAAACGCAGGTTACACGCGTAATTAAGCTTCCTCTCCTTAGACCTTTACTTTTTTTTTTTTTTTTATAAATAAATTTTATCTTACAAGTTACTTATAAATGTTAAAGCATCAAATGTAAATGGATTGCCTTTATAAAATAGAATGCAACGAGAGTTATAAATATGCATTAGGAACAACGAAACAATTATGACGGAGCTCTTAACAGAAAGGAAACGAACAGGAGAGGTCGAGGAGCAGATGTTAAAGGTGAAGGATTCTCAACTCTCGCTGCGGGAGAAGGATGAGCAGATAAAGGACTTGGTAAATGAGATGAAGATACTGCAACAACACAACAACGAGCTCATTGACCTCAGCTCCCAATATGGTGAAGTCGAGCTAGAGAACAAGGAGCTGAAGAAGAAAGTCACCGAGCAGCTTCACGATCAAGAAACTTTGAAACACGCTTTTAACATCGAACAGTCTAATATCGTGGCGTTGCAAACATCAAACGAACAGTTACTCGGGAAACTCGAAGAACTGCAGAAGAACATAGACATTTTAACGGTACAGTTAACGGTCAGTGTGTAATTTTTTTCTTCTACCCGCAATTCAGATGTTTGCTTCTTTAACTAAGTAAGTGCCTTTCTTTCAACATTCAATTGAATAAATTTGCCATTGATATTAAAATCGATATTAAAATTCTACGTGATATTAAAATTTTTATCATATGTTAATGATAATATAATTTTACATGAATTTAAAGAATCAATAAAAGTAACAACCACGTTTTTTTAGTCTTTTCAGACACAGACGGAGAAACAGGAAACGGCAAAGACTACACAAATATCGACAAAACAAGCCGACATGAAGATACCAATCACAGTCGACAGACACGAATCGTACAAAGATATTCAAATGGACAAATGCAGCAAATATTGCGAAGCACTTGAAAAGATTTTCGAACTGGATATCGCTAGGAAAGAAGAGAGATGCAAAATATGTTGCAAATCAGCTACAGTAGTTGAAAATACAACCCAAAAATCTATTGAATTGATGGATAAATCAGTGCAGACAGTATCTATCGTAGGTATCAAAGATCAGGAAATTGTAACATCTGTCAAAGAAATATCGAAAGTGGAAGAATCGCAGATTACAACGCAAAATACGGAACCTGTAGAGAACTATTTGACTCCAGATAAAATGTTGAAGCTCCTGGAACGGGCACAGATAAGCACATCTACGGACGCAGCGAGATTTAATCAGAAACATATGGCTACCGATATCGACTACAGTGGCGTAATGGATCAAAAACAGAGCCACAGGCAAGTTGTTTCCCTTGAGAAACTGCTCTTCGGTGATTGCTGACAAAGACTGTTCGATTATTCGCGCTATTTTAATATTGTATTTATATACATATACGTTTATCGGTGTCGATCTAATTTTAGTTGAGATAGAATAGACAGAGTTTAAGGATTCAAAATATTTCAATGTTCTATTCGTTAAAATTGGAAGCTTCGACGAATTTTAACATTCTTCCGAATGACATCAGTCAATAATAATTGTAACGCAACAAAATTCTGAAGCTTCCAGATTCTTTAGAAAGGTTTCCATACATTTATTCAAACAGTGGTGTTCGATTATATTTTAATGAAATAAGCGTTACGGTAAATAAAGTACCTAATAAAGTATTCTTTTCACATTGAAGTTTCTTCTTATACCTTCGTAATTAAAACTTTTATATTAGCGATCGATATGTTCAGATATTATCCTCCACGATATGTTACAGTGGTACAGAGACATTAACACAAGGAATTCATGAAAACACACCTTTTCAACCTGGTCTCCAGCAACAGAGAAAACATATTGCTTCTCAATCGATGGATCCTAATACAATATTATCCGCATTGTTTAATATTCTTCAAGAGTATTCTACGATACCTCATGAAGCCACGACCCTATATCGGCCAACTTCATTTATAAAACATCAATTCGTGAAAGACATCAATAACAATGATGAGATGACATTAAACAAAGTTGCAACTGGACCAATTCGATCTGGTTGTAGCACTCGAAAATATTGCACGAGCCCTTATGATAAACAAGAAAAGCCAAAGAGAAAATTATACCATAGTGTGAAAAAACGGCCCATCAAAGTCTCTGGTAACAACAATTGCACCTGTAACAATTTAATGAGGTGCAATACGGATATACACTGTGACCAATGTTGCTGTAATTCTGCGAAACTACTTACATGCTACTTTAATAATTCGGGGAAGCATTACGGAGCACGGTCAACAGTGAACAAACATGGCACAGCCAATTCCAAGGCATCTTTCAAAAACCACGTAATCAGTTCTACAAGCCAGTCCTCTGTAGCAAGAACTTATGGTGCAGTGAACATTTCTCGGTAACGATCTTCAACAATTTCGATCGTTTCGCGAAACTCATGTCTCTTCTTTTGAAGTCAGTTGCAGGACGACAAATCCCGAGATGCGCATGAGACTGCACAGATTGAAAACGATGCTTCCAATATCAGTGAATCGTTACAAAAGTATATCAAGCATCTAGATAAATGCAGAGAAGTCGTGAGTGGGATACCAGTAAGAATTGCAATTTAATTAAAATTTTACTGAAATATCGATAAACTTCTCAACAGAGGATGAAACTCGTACAATATACGTTCAGGTGAATGAAATAGTGAAGCACGTGCAAATTGTAGACTCAACTGGATGTCATCTTACGCACGAAGAATCTAAATCCGAAACGAGGAAAGTAGAATCTTTCTGCAGTGCCGATTGTCCAAACGATTGCGTCGATACTCCGATTTCTTCTTCTGACTTGTTTCCATTAGTGATCGCGGATGGTCAGGGTTTAATGGAACTTCACATCGTGTCTTTGCAAATTTCCACATCCGTTAGTATTAAATAAATTCGTCAATACGAAATACGGTAATTCATAAGTAATTTTATGGAAAATGGTTTGTTACATTCATATCAGGCCAAGCAAATTCTTTTCCGAGAAAAGGACATTAATAACGTGCAATTATTCGTGAGTTGGAACATTTGGAATCAAGAAACAGCTTACACGCCCGTGCTCAAATGCCCCAAATTAAACTACAATTCGTCGTTCGTCTATCGCATTCCAGACCTGTTCTCCTTCTTCAGTTATATTCTCCTTGAGTTCGTGACTTTCCAAGTAAACGTGTTTCGCAACAGGAGTGATAACTACGCGGTAGCCAAAGGGAAACTTTGCATTAAGGATATATTGGACTATCCGCAAAATAAACTTCATTATATTACTCCCGTGAATAGTATAATCCCTTGCTCGGTTGGGATAAATTTTGGCCAATTGTCTTTATGGGTCAGACTAAGCTGCGATATCGAGAAAGTAGATGCATTCAAGAGGAGACGCGGAATAATATCAGAACCATCCCAGAAAACGGTAGTCGAAGCGAAACCGGTGAAAACAAAAGATATCATTCCATCAAAAACCGATTTGATAGTATTGAAAGATGAAACTAATGAGAAGAATCATGAAAATTCGATCTCTTTAATAACAAACGAGATAGAGACTTTCGTGGATGATTCAAGTAGTATACAGAGTAACAAAGTAGGTACTATTACGTTCCCTATTCGATTGATCGTACATTATATTTAGGTGAAAATTCTGTTGACATCGATTTGGCTGTGACTGAATCTATCCTTGACAAGACTCCTTTGACCGTGATAAAAAAGAGTGAAGAGGATCCTGAAACTTTATTTTCGAATTCGAAGCAACCTGAAGACGAACATGTTTACACAGTTAAATGGAATGACATTCCTGATGATATCGCAAAATATGAGATGCATGAAAGGTATTGTACTTTTGAATAAAAAGTTCGAATAGATTTAAAGTCGCGATTCTCTCGAACAGAGAGAAGGAGGCTATAGAGGATTCAGAGAGAGACAGAGAAACTGAAGTAGAGACACCAAGTGTGATGGAATTTAATGCCTTCTTGTCAAACGTAAGATTAAAAAATCACCTACTTATTTTCCCTGGTAGTCCTTGATTTTGATCTCACAAATATATTCAGAATGAAACCAATGATCGAACAAAATCGATCGAGACGATAGATGAAGTAACCAATGTGATCTCGGATAAAAAATGGCAGGAATACAAAGAACGAAGTATGGGCACGTATAGAAATTCAACATTCGAGCGAGATTATTTCAATTTATACAAAACGTACATAGATTACAATTGTTCACAAAAATAAATTTCAGGCATGGGCGCAAACGATGTATCGTATGATCTTAAAGTCATTGCGAACAGTCAAGTACGAAGTCATAATATTTTATCTTTCTTCTATCTCTTTTCTCAAATCACAAAAGCTACGGAAATTAACAAAAATCTATAAAACACTGATTACAGTCACTCGAGAAGGATTCAATAATTATAGAGATCATGAATTTGATTTTATTCCCGAGAAGCTCTGTGATGCAGAATCCAGAATATCAGTTATTTTACATTGAATATTGTTTCCTGGGTTATTGCGGAGCTGACATGGAAACAATTTCAGTGAGGAAACCACGGCCACCAAATCAGAAGTTAATATATAATTTTAGAAGAAGTAAGATAGTCATCTCGTCTGTCCTTTTTTCTTTTTTACTTTATTTATACTTGGAAAAATTTGAGAATGAAGAAATTGAAATTGCTCGCAGAGTTTCAAGTAGATGAAGAAAAGTATCCGTTGCAAAATAATATCCTACGCGCGATGCTGGATGGTTTTGCTAATCCTAACATAAAGTTTATTATCGTCTGTGAACCGCTTCCTGAGGAAACTGATATTAAAGAGTGTTTGGAAATTGGGTAAGACAAAAAAAAGAAACTTCTTTATGAAAATATCATCTATAAAAGAGAGATATGAAAGAAAAGATCGCGGTATCTAGGTACGCTAATTTTAATATAAGGGACTATGCATTAGGGGATAGTGAACGGATAATGTCACTCCCGGTATATAATATAAACGAAAAGGAACAGATTGGTCTGTTGAAGGTATTGCAATGATTCTTTATCTAGAATAAATAATTCTAATTTTAAATATTCGTAGATCTGCGTGTTAGGTCTCGATACGATACGTGAACGACTTGAAAGACGCGATTCGGCCCTATAAAAATATTCGTTGCTACGTCATCTTCGTATATTTTCTACGTGTAAAATGTGATGATTGTAAAATGAAGAATTTGTAAAACTTTGACTAAAGAACTAGGAAACTTGTAAATGTATAATACTTTGATTAAAAATTACACAGTACAAAACGCCCGTATTTATTAGAAGCTACTTACATATTATAATGCAAAATATTCTACATTTATTTTTGTATACGTTTTCTACATGTTGCGACGCGTTATTTTCATATGAATCGTGTTAGGTCATTATTCCCACTGTTATGGTTTGATCTCATAAAATTCCAACGTTTCTCTTCTCTGTTCCCCTAATCTTTCCTAATCCGTGTCATACGGATATCAGGAGGTTTCCATTATCTCTGACTTTTCCTCTTTCTGTGCTTTGTTGTTCCATTGTCCGTAGAATTCTTGCCTTGATTCTCTTTCAGACTGGACAATTTTGTTTTACGAAAAATATCGTTAAAGACACTGGTGGCTATCTGAAAGTCTTTGCAACCCTTTGGTTGTCGAGCTACAGACCAGACACCTGCTATGGTGTCGATACCCTGGCAGACTCTGCAGGCACCTAAACAGAGAGATTCGTCAACACAAATCCCTCTCGATCTTCTCTGCTTGAGATTAAAATTGCTAAGGCAAGAAAATACATCAATTATATCAAAAACTAAGAAATTACATACCAACAAACACAGCTATGGAATTGGTGCAGTTATTAGTGGCGATGAGGGTGAACGGCGAGCCACGTTTGAATGGGACGTGACCAGATACGTTCCACGTTCCATTCAGGAAACTTTCGTGTAAATGCGGTGACGCGAGATCGGAAAGAGTCACGATTATAGTACGATTCACGACCCTCATATTCAATTTCATTCCAGCCTGGGCTGTTGACCAGGACCCTGACAAACGGCAAGGTAGGCCTAAAAATATCACTCGTTTCATATATCAGAGATAGTCAAGTCAAGCTTCAAGCCAATTACCGTCTTGTTTGATTATTATTATATTTTACACGTTACGTTATACGCAATTCCTTCCGATTTTACCTTCTCTTTTGTTGTTCTTCGACCGATCTTCTTTCAATTCCTCTAATTCCTCCATTATGGTATCGAGTATTTGATTGGCCACCTCTTTCGTATCGTGCACCACGATGGAAACGTTCGTGTTATCACTGGAGTCCTTGTAATCGTCCAGACGTGACGAAATGTCATTGTTGCGTATCTCATTTTTATTCGACTGCCTCGAATAACCCTGTCTCACCTTATTTCTGTTTCTAGATTTAATTGCTGGATATTCCAATCCTCTCGTATTACTATCCTCGTGAAAATTAGTTTGCTCATTATTCTGCTTCTTCTTTAAGTAACTAGGGCTTATAAAATGCTCCACCGGTATCCCGTTCGCGTACGTATCGGAATAAGGCAACACTTGATGATTAATATTTTCGTGTAAATTTTCATTTCGCTTGGCATTATTTAAACGGCCGTTCACATTGATTCCCAGCGATTCTAGAATCTTTCCAAGAGGCTGATCCATCGCATTGGGAACGCTCGCTGCTGGAACATTGTACATAGATTGTGCTGGGAAATTCCTCAAGTCTTGTTGATCTTTCGGATTGTACAATTGAAGCGGAGAGTAATTGAATTGAGTATGGACTTCCGTATCTTTCTCTTTCACATCTGGCATCCCCGCGTTGTTGTGTGTTTCAGGTTGATTCACTACACTCTGATCAAGGCTCTCTTGCCGCGGCAAGTTCGACTCTATCTGCTGATAATTATTTATATTTTGAAACTGAGGAACTTGTGGCTCACCAGGCTCGTTTACAGTTAGACTCTGAAGCTCGTTAGGATTTGAGCTTTGGAAATGTTGTTGAGGAGTTCCGTATTGATTCAAATAACGAAATTGATCTGAGTTCTGTATTTCGACAACAGGTTGTTGCTCGTCGTTTAATTTATTCGGATCGAACGTATTCACCTCGAGTACTTGCGATCGTTCCGGAATTGCCGCCACATCGGCTGAATGTGGCATGTTGAAGTTTCCGCTTCGATACTCCAAAGGTTTGTAATTGGTCGCGTAGCTGAGAGAAGGATCATCGGCTCCAAAGAGGCGAGAGTTCCGATTTAGCGTCGAGAAACGATCGATTGCCGGATAATTCTGAAAATCATTAAGATAATTGACACTGTCATCCTTGTACCTGAACTCCTTTCTACGATCATCGTAATCCGGATAGTAAGGTTGCAAGTTTCTGCCGATCTGATTGTCACGGTACGACGTAAAATTTATTGCTTGCCGTGCGAATCGATCGTTAGGATTTCTCGAGTCTACCAGCTGCATCGGAATTTTATTCGCGTCGATATCCTGGAGTACTTCGTCGTCGCTGTAATAATCCGAGTACTCGACCCCTTGGTCGCCTGGATTCTTTTTCCACGGACCCTTCGTGGTTGTTCTCATCAAACGTTCGATCATTCGCCCGTTCTCCTGCAGTTTTGCAGAACTCTCAGTCTTTTGCGACTCTCGATGGTACTCGATACTCATAGGCGAAGAGAAATCAATGTAATCGTTGTCGTCGACTTTTATACCGGTAACTTTAACAGTCGATCTCGAGGTGGACGATTTGTCGCGTGAGTTCTCGTCAAGAGTAACTGGGTTACGCTTAATCATAGAATTCCCCCTTCCGTCTGATTTCTGTGTTAACGTGTTAATGCCCCTTTCGCTGTCCAACGTTCTCTGAGTAAAGGAATATTTTTCAAACGTTTATCCAGTGCGTAGTAAAACTGACCGCTTGGGAGGATCATGAAAATTAGTGGAAAATTGCTGAACGAAGCTTACCTACCTTAAAGGATCCCCTCTTTAACAAACCAGGATGCTGTTTCCTATGCTGTCGATGGTGTCTGAGAAACAGAAAAGTATAATACAGTATGATACATTCTAAACTTTTAATAGAAATGATCTTTCAATACCTTTTCCTCTTTTTCTTTCTTCGCCCCTTGTGTCTCATCCCTTTCTGATGTCTTCTCTCTTCAGCTGCCTTCGCGCCAGTTTTCAATATCCTTGGCTTTAGCACTTTAACATTCGCACGAAAAGTTCCTTTGGGCGTGACACGCGACAGTTTCCTTATAGTGTCTTGCATCTTCGGAGATTTCAACGCGTCTTTGGCCATTTTGTGAGCTAGTCTTCCGCCATCTGATCTTAGAAGTCTGTTTTCTAAAGAATTCGTACTACCACGACGTAGTCCCGAATCTCGATCGTTGTTCTTGTTCGAGTGTCGTTTCTCTACGAGATCTGAATCATCATCGGCAACAGACTTCTCCTTCAAGGAAGTAGAACTTTGTCGATGCGATTGAGCCAGTGCTTCATTTTCTCCCGATGGTACGAACGATAATTTCTTGGAATTACTTTCGACGCAAACTGCGCTGATTAGTAGCGGAACGATCATGGTCAACCTGTTTTTTTTTTTTTTTTTTTTTTTTTGTTAACAAATATTATCGTTCTTATATTTAAACAAATATTCTTTTTTCTTATAAAAATATTGATAATATGTCCATTTCTACCGGAGATCATCTCTGCTCCATACCTGAAAGTTAGCAGCATTCCTCCGCGAGGTAGATCGATCGAAAAATTAGTGCTGATGCCATTGAATCGGTGGAATCACGGTGGATGATCCTTCAAGCTCGTACTTCGCCACGTCGATTCATGACAGTTATTCTCCCTTTCTCGTGTCGCGGTATTATAATCGTTAATAAATTGTAAGAAAAATGGTCGTTCACGCGTTCTCCTTTCGACACGTTGACATGTCTCCGAAAAAGGTTCGATGCTCGTTTTTCCACGACCAACTTTTGTCATGTTGTTATCGCTGATTTATCGAAAGAGTGACATATTTCAAAGAATGCCGATTTTTTGAAATATCCGCAAGAATTAACTATGAAAGTAAAGATATTGTCTACGACAGATGGCGCGTCATAATTTTATTTAATAAAATTAGTATCGCTTAAAAATGTCACTGAAAGAGTGTTCAAAATAATGCTAAATGATAATCGAATAATTAATAACCTTCTATTTTAAAATTTCTATCTCAAACCGATATCTAATTTTCT